TTTCAATATTCGAAAATCTATAAATGTAATACACTATATCAATAGAGCGAAAACTAAAAAACACATGATCATCTCCATTGATGCAGAAAAGGCTTTTGACAAAGTCCAACACTCATTCATGTTCAAAGTCCTATAGAAAATTGGAATAGATGGCATTTACTTCAATCTGGTAAAAACTATTTATGAAAACCTAATGGCTTACATCATCTTAAATGGGGAAAAACTGAAATCTTTTACTTTTAGATTTGGTACAAGACAAGGATGTCCTCTATCACTGCTCCTATTCAATATAGTTCTGGAATCATTAGCTATAGCCATCAGACAAGAGAAAGAAATAGAAGGAGTAAGAATAGGAAAAGAGGAAGTTAAATTATCTCTATTTGCAGATGACATGATACTTTACTTGGAAGATCCACAAAACTCCACCAAGAAGCTACTAGAATTAATACAGAAATTCAGTAGCACAGTAGGTTATAAAGTCAATACCCAAAAGTCAATAGCATTCCTCTACACAGACAACAAACACACTGAGAGAGAAATTAGAGAAACAATACCTTTTACAATAGCACTGAGGAAAATGAAATACCTTGGAATTAATCTAACTAAAGTAGTCAAAGATCTTTTCAAGGGAAATTACAGTACTCTTCAAAAAGGGATCATAGACGATTTCAGAAAATGGAAAGATATTCCATGCTCCTGGATAGGAAGAACCAACATTGTGAAGATGGCCATACTCCCAAAATTGCTGCACAGATGTAATGCAATCCCTATCAGACTACCACCAACATACCTCACAGAAGTTGAGAAATCATTCCTAAAATTTATCTCAAACCAGAAAAGACCTAGAATAGCAAGGCAATCCTGGGCAATAAAGACAAGGCAGGTGGCACTACAATTCTTGACTTGAAATTATACTACAAGGCTACTGTGATAAAAGCAGCATGGTACTGGCAACAAAATAGACCTGAGGATCAATGGAATAGATTAGAAGACATTGAAGCCCCTATGAACACACTCAGCCACCTTGTCTTTGACAAAGGGACCAAACATACTCACTGGAAGAAAAACAGCCTCTTTAACAAATGGTGCTGGACAAACTGGCTCTCTACATGCCAAAAACTCAAACTTGACCCAGGTCTAGCACCATGCACTAAAGTAAAGTCAAAAAATCAAAATGGATTAAAGATCTAAACATTAAAGCAGAGACACTAAATCTCCTGGTATAAAGTAGGACGAACTCTTGAAGACATAGCGGTAGGCAAAGACTTCATGAACAGAAATCAAATCGCACGGGAAACAGTTGAAAGAATTAACAACTGGGACCTGCTCTTACTGAGAAGTTTTTTCATGTCAAAAGAAATTACCAACAAAGTGAAAAGGCTACCCAAAAAATTGGAAAAAAATCATGAGAAATAAGTACTCATACAAAGGTCTGCTCTCTAGAATTCATAAAAAACTAACGAACACTAGGGCCCCAAAATTTAAAACCCAATCCAGAAATGGGCATATGAGATGAACACACACTTCTCAGAGGATGGAATTAAAGAAGCGAATAAATATATGAAAAAATGCTCCACATCACTAGCCATCCGCAAAATGCAAATTAAGACAACATTGAGATATCATCTCACCCCAGAAAGAATGGCTATCATAAAGAAATCACCCAACAACAAATGTTGGAGAAGTTGTGGGGAAAAAGGAACCCTTCTCCACTGCTGGTGGGAATGTAGACTGGTGCAACCGTTATGCAAATCAGCGTGGAGACTCCTTAGAAAAATTGGACTGGAAATGCCATTTAAACCAGCTATTCCTCTGCTGGGAATTTTCCCGGAGGAACTGAAAATATCATATCATAGGGATATATGTGTGCCTATGTTTTTAGAAGCACAATTTGTGATAGTCAAATGTTGGAAACAACCAAGATGACCATCACCTGAGGAATGGTTGAGAGAAAGATGTGGTATTTTTACACAATGGAGTATTATTCAGCTATAAAGAATGATAAATTCAAAGCCTTTATATTGAAGTGGATGCCACTTGAACATATACTCATAAGTGAAATAAACCAGACACACATGTGTAAATATCACATAGTTTCCCCAGTTATTATACTAAGAATAAATACAAATAGAAAAGTATAATACAAGTAAAAGGAAAGTAGGATCTCGAGGGCTAACTAATCAAGAGAGCGAAATCAGAAGAGCCAGGAAACATGACAATGTCAATCCATAGTTATCTATGTTAAAAATATAAACTGCAACTTTTATTACTTCGGTTTGCCTCAGCCATCCACAAGGAAGTAGGTCTGAACAAGCCTTCAGGGTCTCTTATCATTACTCCTGTGGAATTTTTCAGGAAGAATTATCTCTATTTCAGGGGATGCTGTACCAACAGGATGTGAGTCTCATACTCCTAAGAGACAAATTTCTACCCTGTACATGATATTCAAAACATATGGCTACTAATATTCCTTACCTTCATTACACTGATTGTTTTCCTTTTATTTACTAATAAAATAGTTCTGGCCAAATTGGAATGGAATGTTACCTCAGGATGAACACACACACAGCGTCCAGGAAGATGGTGCAAAACTTTGAACCTCCATGAGAACACCTGTTGGCTGGCTTCTCTCCCCTTCCTTCGCCCTGTGGTTACCCCAGCTTCTATCTTGCTATGCGTCTTTGCATCTTTGTACACCTGCCACTGCAGGGCTCTATCTTCATTCTGGAGAAAATAATCAGAGCTTGATGGAAGAGAGTTTATATTTTTCTTCATAATAAAACATAATAACAATTTCATTGTAAAACAAGACAAACCAAGTCCACTGTTAAACTTAGTTGGTCTTATAGCATAATTTCAGTGTACTATTATGGTGACAATGTCTGCATCTCTCTCCATCATATCAATTATCTTCTCACGAAAGAAGTACAGCATTTAGAAAGAAGGAAGCATGTATTGGCAGATGGAGTAAATCTTTTTCTAACCATTTCACCCACTTGTTTATCCTCTGTCCCATTCCTAGCTTCAAATGTATGCACATGAGAAAAAGACTGGCGACCTCTAGTCCTGAAGTTAGAAATGAGTAAATAACAGGATGGTGCAGCCTTCACCAGAAAGAGGAATATTTTTTTTTTACAGACACAGAATTATGGAGTAGAAAAAATAATACAAAGAAGGATTGTAGTAGTGATTAGGTCCACAGGCTCTGCAACCAAAACACCTAGATTGTAATAACACCCACCCTTATTCACTATCATCTTGTGCAAGTTACCTGAACTCTGAGTTCTATTTTTCTCACTGAAAAGTAATGATAACATTTTTATAGGTGGTAGTGGACATTAAGTGAATCGGTATTTGATACAAAGCATGCATATGACCCATAGTAGATACTCAGCTAATGCCAGCTAGCTATTACTTTGACCTGTGACTGTGGCAAGGAGAACGAATTCATACCCGATGGCCTTAATCCCAAGAGCAAGATGTGTACTTCTTTTTTTTTTTTAATTTATTTGTGTGTGCATGTGTGGCCAGCTCAGCCCACCAGGGGGCGGGGCTGGCTGGCATGTGGTGCTGGGGGATTGAACCCTTGTTCTTAGTAGGTGCTTTAGACCACTGAGCCATCTCACCAGCCCAAGACATGTACTTCTTGAAGAGACAAATGGGAGAGAATCTCACCTAAAGAATGAGGAAAGTTGGTCTTCAACCCCGGCTGTCCTGCTAAAATTTTATGAAACCCTTTTAAAAATACTGACATTTAGGATCCAACCCAAAACACATCAGAATTGCTAGGGGTAGGACCTGGACATGATCGTTTTTAAAGGCCTCTGAGCATATTTTTATGGACAGATACAGTTGAGAATCATGAGGTAATAGAAAAGTAATAAATGAGAGGATTTTGGATGTGAAGAAGAAATGCATAGTAACCCAGTCTACTTTTCTTTAATTTCTCTACCTCTCCAGCATCTTGTGAGTGAAAAGTCAGGATAGTGGGTGTGAAAGATATAGAAAGCATCCGTTCTCAAGTGGTAGGGAATGTGTTGCTGAGATTTGGGAAGAATACAAAATTTAATTTTGTGCTGGGTAAAAAGCCAAGCCAAGAATAAGATGATAGACTGTGTAAACAAGTAGTCCAAGGATGTAGAATGGGATACAATAAAAGCGTAAGAGTGAGATTTTTGAGCGTGGGGAATGGGTGTGATAAGACACTGTTAGTGCCATAAGAAACCCGAGTGTTAAAATTTTGGTTCCTGGATATAATGAGATTTCAATGAAAAGTAGCTCTAAGTAAGTCCTCAAAACTCAGATTGAGACAAAATAAAGGTAAACGTTATTAGAAGCAGCGGATAAAATCTAAAGTACGAAAGGATGATATTTTGTGGTGTAGAGAAAGAGTATTAGTCCTAGAAGGCAAAGCCAATGACTACTATAAAATTGTATGAGTCAGTAGGATTGAATAAAGTCTTCAATAAAGTTGCAAATTGTTAATCATTGTCTAGTAATAAGAAATCTATACATTGATCAACTGCTAAAATAGACACTAGTCCCATCAGAACAAAAATTCAATTTTCTTTAAGCTTCATGTGTTTAAACTAGAAAAATTCTGGCTATTTTACCTAATGTGTCAGCATAGCCACTTCTAATTTAAAATTTAAACACACAATTTCTCTTTTCATGTAAAAATTAAAGTTTCTAAAATCAAAAGGGACACAAAATGATACATCCTAAATGATGCCAAAATCTAGTCAGTAAAACATTACATTTTTGCCTTTTCCTTTCTCTCTTTCCTTTTACCACAAGCAGAATTTTTTTTTTTTTTAAGGAAAACAAAACAAAACAAAACACTCTTCTTCCTCTTTCCAGCAGAGAGCGACGATGCCCTACTCAACACAAACGCCAACTCCAATGGATTGTCACAACCTTGAGACTAGCACACAGGAAGATTGTCCCTAGCGGGCACCCATAGCTGACTCGCCTCCGCGGAGACGGGAACCAAGGGGAGGGATTTGCCCGGTGCGCTCGCCGACGGAAGCGGAAGTGTCTGTGGGGGCGAGTAGGAAGTGGGGGTTCTGTGGTGGAGATGGCCGCGCTGGCTCCGCTGCCCCCGCTGCCCCCACAGTTTAAGAGCATACAGCATCATCTGAGGACGGCTCAGGAGCATGACAAGCGGGACCCCGTGGTGGCCTATTACTGTGAGTCCTCGCGGGTGGCGCGCCGTTCGCGCTCGCGGCCCCGCTCGCCGAGGACCCGGGCTTGCCCCGCCCCCCTGACCGGGGCGCCGAGCGCCGAGCTCCGAGCTCCGAGCGCCGTTCCCGGGAGCGCCCGGGTCCCGACCCTGCGGGAGCCGGACTTCAGCGCGCGCGAGCAGGCGAGGGCCCCGCGGCGCCGGGCCGCGCTCGGTCTCCCCTCTTGGGTTGGAGCGCCCCGAGCCCACTGGCTGTGCAGCGCGCTGCCCCGGGGTTCCCCCGCAGCGTGTCCCTGAGAACCTTCGGTCTGGAAAGAGCCAGGCTAGTCCAGCACCGTAGTTGAGTACAGCGAATGGGATTGCTTCAAAGATAGTAGTGCTGTGGATACGAGGAAGACGACTTAGGGACTTGATTCTAAGTGCAGGTTAATTGTAACAGCGTGCGGGACCGTTCCAAAAATAAGCAGCACTTCAATGGATAGTGTCTTCTGTTAAGCAGTTGAATTTAACCGTTCCTCCTTTTGCATCTAAACCGCACTCTCTCCAATGATAATATTTCATCTTTTACTAATATGTGGAGTCGAGAAGCTTGACAGAAATATTTCCACCTTGATTGTTGCGCATATAATCCAGAGATGACGGGAAACAGTTCATGTCTATTCACACTTTGCTTTTTAGTAGTTGGGGGGAGCAGCGCCGGTGTTTTCTGTATAAACTTGCTTTTTGTACGTACTCAGCCTCTGAATTGTCTATTGTGCACATAACGAGGTCAGCTCACGTGTGGCCATTGTTATCAGTGCTGTACTACACATACACCCCATTTCTCGGTTATGCAGGAATTTCTGCCTTTTTCCACACTTGCCAATCTCCCCATGACCCACTTGTAACATTGACTGTGTACTCTGTGCTTTCCCTAACAACATTATTTCTACTCATTCTTCAGGTTCCTCATTAAGTTTCATTAATCCAGCGCGCTATTTATTGAGCTTGTACCTTGTGCCAAGTATTGTTTTAACTATACTTCCTGTTTTCACAGAGCTTACATACTGTGGAATCAAGGGGACTAAACAATAAAGTATTTGTGTACACACACAGACATACACACACACACATTGTATAGACTATTAGTATGTAATGAAGAAAATTAGGAAAAGGAAATTAGCATCAGAAGGGTAATAGGAAATGAGATGATTTCATTTCTAAAGTGATCAGAAAACCTCTTGATGAGTTGACGTTTGAGGAAAAAAGGGAGTGAAAGGGAAATCTCAGGCATTAAGGAAAGAGTATTCTTTATGAAGGGAATAAAAGTATAAAAGTCCTGAGACGTGCTAGAAAGAGGAACCAGAACATTAAATGTGAGTGGAGTAGGAAAAGCCAGTGAAAAAGTGATATAAGAAGGAAAGGGTAGTCTCCATAACAAATAGAGCACCCAGTGCCCCTCTAAAGCTAGTCCCTTTTAATGGTCTGTGTGTTGTGTGCATTTATCACTGGTCTTGGATCCTTTGTTTCCTGTGTCATTATTGTCCCTCTGGCTATTTCTTTCTAACTTTATCCCAGTGTACTGTAATTAAAAAATCTTTCTAAAGTTTTAAAAAGGAAAGGCAGAAGCTCTCTCCATGACATTTCCTCTAAAATTACAGCCTGTTTGTCCAGCCTTGCAGGTAAGTTTGAATTAGTCATCTATAGCAGTTTTTACATCCTCATTTTGTAGAGCCTTTCAGCTCATTGTAGTCTGGTTCGTGCCATTATTTCGCTGAAATTAGTGTCCTGGGAATATGAATAAAAACATTTACTGTGCAGTCCATTTGACAATAAAAGTTTTGTTATGAAACTTAACATATGTAAGACCATGCATTCATAATGTGCATGCAGAATTTAAGACATAAATGAGCATTAATTTACTCACCACAGTTGATATTATTAGTCTCTTAATTTTTGTTAATCTGTTGGATGCAAAAAAAAATCTGGGAGTATTTGCAATTATCTGAGTCTTCCTGTGGTTCAGTATCTTTTCATATGTTAACTAACCGTGCAATTCTCTGGAAATGCTTTATTGCTTTTGCCCACTTTCTTATTGTACTGTGTGTCTCTTCTTCATAATACAGATAACTTATCCTTTGTTTTATGCATTGCAGTTGTCTTTTTCCATTTCAAGGTTTGATTTTAACCCTTTGAAGACCTTATTCAAAAATTCTCAATTTTAACTGTAACCCATTTATCAGTCTCTTCCTTTATGATTTACATTTTAATTTCTAGGTCTTAATTTTTTTGTGTACTTGTTTGAGACTTCGAGTTCCTGACTCGGTAGCTAGATGTCTTTCATCAATTGTGGAAGATTGTTATTACCTCTTCATAACACAGATTCTTTTTTTTATTATCTTGTGCAGTTTTCATTAGAAGTTTTATACAGGTAACCTTTAGCTTACTTGTTTCTTAATTCCTTTATGTTATTGAACTCTTTCTTACTACTGCATTCTGTAATTCCCTGTGGCTTGTTTTCACATCAATATATCCTCTAGCTTCACTCATTTATTGAGTTCCTACTTTTATTTATTTCAGTGTTCCATTTTTGTTTTCAAATTAACCTAGCCATTTGTGGTAGCTTCTTGTTACTGCTGATATTTTTTAGACACTTATTTCTTTAAACACTTTGTTTTTATTTGTACTATTTGTTCTCTGATGATCTTTGTAGCTACTATAATTATGGATCACTGCTCCAAGTGATTTCTTTCCTTATGGGTTGTACATTAGGCATATTTCAAACTGGAGTTTCTAAAGTGCTCTTTGAATTCTAAAGAAATCATTTTCTCATCATAACTTCCATGTTTTCCTTCTAAAATTATTCTTCCTGCCAAAGGTCCTATTGTCAGGGTAACAAAGTACCTCTTGTCCTACATATATCCTTTTACAATTGCCCTTCTGCTTTAACAACAACAAAAATCCAACACATTTTCATGTATTTTTTGGTTTTAATTAATTAATTAATTCGGTACACAGTCTCTCTTCAGCTCAGATTCATAGTGATACTCCTGTCTCAGCCTCCCCAGCACTGGGATTATAGATATGTGTCACCATACCCAATTTCAGTGGCCAGCACTGTGTGTGCCTGGTTTTCCAGGGCCAGCATGCCATGTGGTACTACGGATTGAACCTGGTCCTTACACTTGCCAGGCGGGTGCTTAGACCGTGGAATTATCTCCCCTACTCCCATTATGTTTGTTTTCATTTTTGGTTTTTTGAGACAATCTCCTCGTTATCCAAGCTGGCCTCAAATTCACTATCAATACAGATCATCTCGCCTTACCTCCCATAGTGCTTGGATTACAGATATAACCCAACATATTTTTTAATGTTTTTATGACGTATTCGAAAATCCACCAGGTGTCCAGATAAATGAGTAAATTCAAATTATTTCTGTTAGTGAAGCCTCCATTAATTAAGGTATTACTGAGAACTTTCTATGTTTATCTGTCTTATATGGAAGAAAATCAACTAGAGCAAATAATAATGCTTTTCTTTTAAAATGCTTGGCATGGAAGATTCCAGAAGAATTTTCTAGTTTGGGGACAAAGGATGGCTGTTGTATAAAGGTGATTCAGGGAATCGCCTGGGGTTTGTCTCTTTGGGACTGTTTGGTCAATAGTAGATCTCAGGAAAGGAAGGATCTCATTTCGGATCTGGTTTGAGGTCAGTATTGTGTTCAAGAATATATGGAGAGAGATTAGCTCTAGGGATAAGGTCATGAATAGGGCATTATAAAAAATCTCAGAGTCTTTTACATTTAGATGTCTGTCTGGCAAAGTTACTGCATCGGGATAAAATTACCTTGTATTGTAGTATACTAAATTCCCACAGTGATAAAAATTTGTTTTAGATGTCCTTATTATTGGTATTAGTAAAGAATACTGTAACCGAGTTGAGTGCAAAACAAAAAGCCAAAGAGAAGCGCTTTTGGCAGAATTTCCTTGTTTAATTTAAATAATAAACTTGTCTAAGCCTCTGTGGCTTTTCTTTTAGGATTAAAATCTGGAAATGAGCATTGACATTCCAGTAGTCATACTTTCTTGAAAAAGTAACTCATCGTTAACACTGGTCTTGCCTGGCAGTTTCTCCTTAAACTAATTGAACTACATCTTGATGCTAAGGTGTTTTGTTTGTCTGGTTGGTTGGTTGGATTTTGGTTTGCTTTGGTTTGTTTCAGAAATACATTCAAAACAAGTGAAGGACAAAAGCATTAAAAAGTATTTTTTTGTTTGTTTGGGTTTTTTTTTTTGTTTTTTTAGTGACATCTTAAAATTAATACTGTTTGGGTTTTCCCAGTTGTTGGAATGTTCTGCAATAAACAAGAGGCTCTGACTAAAAGAAAATGATGAATTTTTATGGTATCTTTTTCGTATACATTGCATGAATTGAGAAAATAAGTAACTAGAATGATGGCTTAACAAACCCTTTTCAAGTTTTTAAGTTTTGAAGCAAAGCTAATTGAATTGTCTGCCAAGGTATTGCTAAAATATTACTTGATGATAGGCAGTTAAATGGTCATAACCTAGAAGGAATTTAAAGAATTTACTGATTTTTGTTGTGACAGCTCCCAGTCTCCTCATTTGTTTGTGTAAAATATTTCTTGTATTTATGGAAAAAAAAAAAAAATGGAGAGAACCTGCGGGTTAGCTCAGTTGTTTAAAGTGCCTGCTTGGGCAAACTCAGTTTGGCACAGGGGATGATGGTTCAATCCCCAGTGCCACATGCCGCACCAGATCTGTCATTAAGGCAGCCTGAGCCAAAAGACAGAGAGAGAGAGAGAGAGAGAGAGAGAGAGAGAGAGAGAGAGAAAAAGAAAGAAAGAGAAAACCCTGATATTCTGCCTTCATTTATTATAATGACAGGACATATTCATAAATATTTTGATTTATTATGAGATGCATTTTCAATACATTTTACATTTTATATTCAATGATTATTAAAATACACATTTGTGCTGTTTTGATCAGTTCTGTTACAATAATT